TGGGGTTGGAGGTCATGGTGGGCAGGGACGTGCTGTGACTCCTCGGACTGGCCCTCCCTCACCCTGCCCTTGAGTGGGGATTGTAGGGCCTTAGGGCTGTGGCAGGACCTGTGACGGGGCGAGGGCAGTACAAGGCTGGGCAGCCCAGGGAGTCTTGCGTGGCTGGCCAGTAGTGCCGTGGGACAGAGTTGAAGTCCCTTCAGCTGCAAAGCTCCTAGATTATAAAGTCCCTCTTGCTCCTGGCATATCAAAGAGCTGAAAGGGACTTCCCCAGTGAGAGCGAGACCAGGGGTGGTCTTCTCCTCTGTCCCTTTCCTGTAGCACCCCTGAGACCGATGGCAGGTGACAGGCCAGGGATGAGGGCTCTGGGTGCCAGGACCAGCTGGGGCAAGGGTTCTGCAGTGTGGTGGGCCACAGGCTCCTGGGCCCTCGCCTGACTGGCATCTCCTACAGCGGCGCGGCATGAAGGGCAAGGCCCGCAAGCTGTTCTACAAGGCCATCGTGCGCGGCAAGGAGATGATCCGCATCGGAGACTGTGCAGTGTTCCTGTCCGCTGGCCGCCCCAACCTGCCCTACATTGGCCGCATCCAGAGCATGTGGGAGTCCTGGGGCAACAACATGGTGGTTCGAGTTAAGTGGTTCTACCATCCTGAGGAGACCAGCCCGGGCAAGCAGTTCCATGAGGGCCAGGTGAGCACAAGGCCAGCTAGGTGTCCTCCTTGTTGGGTCCATATGGGTGCCATAGGGTGGACCTGAGGTCCCCTCTGGGGCCAGGCATTCTGGGTGCTGGCAGCCATGGTCTGACCAAAAAGGGAGGCTGAGGCTGGGATCTAGTCTGCCACTGGCAGCAGCCCCGCCGTGGGGCTGGTGTCACCACCGTCCTGGTTTGGTCCTGACAGCACTGGGACCAGAAGTCTGGCCGCAGCCTTCCTGCAGCCCTGCGGGCCTCCAGCCAGAGAAAAGACTTCATGGAGGTAGGAGGGCCTCCAGTGGGCGGGGGTGGTCGCCTTCTCCCAGCATGGCCGGCGGGGTCCCGCGCTCAGACCTAGGCTCTGCCTGCACCACCCTTCGACCTCGCTCTGGCCTCCGGCCTCGCTCTGGCTCTGAGCTGCCCGGCTCTCAATCTGTCTCCTGGTCTCACTTCTGTCTGTCTGGTCCCCTGTCTCTGTCCCTGAGTCTCAGGACTCTGTCTCTCCTGGTCTCTTGGTCTCTTGATCACCTCTGTCTCTCGATCTTGGCCTCTGTCTCTGGGTCTCCACCTCAAGGCAGTCCCAGGTTCCTCTGGTCTGGGAGGGGTTCTCCCGACCCTGTGCCCATACCTGAGGCCCCACCGTGCCCCACAGCGTGCCCTGTACCAGTCCTCACACGTGGACGAGAACGACGTGCAGACGGTGTCGCACAAGTGCCTGGTGGTGGGCCTGGAGCAGTACGAGCAGATGCTGAAGACCAAGAAGTACCAGGACAGCGAGGGCCTCTACTACCTCGCAGGCACCTACGAGCCCACTACAGGCATGATCTTCTCCACGGACGGCGTGCCCGTGCTCTGCTGAGCGCCGCCCCCCCGGGCCCAGCTGCTTCGTGCCCTGAGGGCCCACAGGGACCCTCGCCATCACTGCCACGGCGCGGGACCATGTGCGTTGTGTGCATGCCAGTGTGCCCGTGGGCGTGTGCATGTGGACAGGTGTGCACGTGGATGCCCCGGGCAAGTGAGTGTGTGTACATGTGTGTGCCCGTATGCATGCACGTGTGTGCACCCATGTGCACACGTCTCCACCCCAATCTCCCAACCCCCTCAGTGCCCCAGGACAGGGGCTCCTCTCTGCTATCAGGGTGTGGCTCTGCTGGCCACCCAGGGCAGTCTCAGCAGGGACAGGCCTTGGCCTCCCCAGCACCTCATAAGCACTTGTAGAGGCAGGCCCTCCAGCCCCAGTGGGGGCCAGGTGCCCCCAGGCCCTGAAGACTGGGGGCTTGGTGGGAGGGGGTTTCTAGGAACCCAGACTGAGGCTCGCTCTGGGTTCCAGCCACCCTCAGCATGGAGTCCACCCAAACCTCCCGCCATGGACGTGGGCACCTGGTGCCAGCCAGCCTCACCATCCACCCCAGACTGCTGAGTGCCTGTGGCCTCCACCCTCTCAGGATGGCCTGGGCTTGGGGAGCAGAGCAGGGCCAGGGGGAGCCCAAAAGCATCGGCAGGTGGCCCTGGCAAGGGCCTGCCCCCCAGCCCAGACCCTCACACTACAGAAAATCCCAATGGTGCTGAAACCCTCGCTCCGGCCATGCCTGGCCCTCCCTGCCCAGGAGGGAGGCAGCAGTTCTTAACCTGTACAGTTTTATTGTACCAAGAGACTCGCCCCGCCCCTGTATCATAAGCCTTTAAATGGAGTCAACTTTTTAATTATATATATAAAGATAAATATATATAAATATATATAAATATAAACTTTTTAAAACTGTGAAAAATAGCTATGAAATTATAAAAAAAAAGCGAACACATTCTGACGTGCAGAATATTATTTTTTATTTCCTGTTAGATTGTGAGTGTCTAGCACCCGGCTTCACTGGCCCCCCAGCCCCTAGCACACCCCCCAGCCCACTGTACTGTACTCACCCCCAGCTGAGAAGGAGTGAGGGAGAGGGAGGGGAAGGAGCCGCAGCCCCGCCCCCCGCGGGCCCAGCAAGCACTTACCCAGCCCCCCCGCCTGGGAGCCGAGGCCTCCAGCAGACAATCTTGAGGGAAGGAAAAGCCAGACTTCGGTTTTGTTTTTTGGGGGAATTGCTTTCCTGTTTTTGTTTTGTTTTGTTTTTTAAGTTACTTTTGGAATTTTGTTGGCAAATTCTGTGTGATCTTTTTCATAAAAAAAAAAGAAAAAGAAAAAAAGATTTAATTGGAAAAATAGCATCGCTTGGAGTGGTTCATTTCGGGAACTGGGCTGGGCTGGGGCCCTTGGTCTGTGGGAGTCCACTACGGGACAAGGGAGGGCACAGGGAGTTTGGAGGTTGGGCTATTAAAATTCAGCTAATTTAAATGAGGGAACATTAAAAGCTGTTTCTCAGTTGCTCCAGCCGCCTGTCCAGGGCTTGGCAGTGCGGATGGCTAGTGGCTGTGGTATTGGGCAGGACACGCAGTGCCCAGTGTTTCAAAAGTTCTGTGTCCACACCTGGACAGGGCTCTGCAGGTCCGAGTGGCCGTGAGCCTGCCTTGAACCTCTGGGCCTGGAAAAGCTGGAGGCGGTGGGGACATTGCCTGCCCAGTACCCTCTGGCCTGGGTCAGTTGAATGGCTGCAGATGTCATTCGGGCTTTGCTGTCACGGTTGTGGCAAAGGGCGGGACAATGACATGTTAACACTGAGGGCAACTGGTGTGACCTCTGTGGTGGGAAGGGTTTGGCAGGGCTCTGAGGGCCTCGCTGCAGTGCAGACACCGAGTCCCACAGGTGTGGGGGGAGTGGTGTGCCACCGCCATCTGGTGGCTGCGTCTGGCATTGCCCCTTGGACTTGGCCCACTTGATTGCCACTTGACATCCCCCAGGGGATGCCTGCAGGTTCCTGAGGCCATAGGTCCAGAGCTCAGGTGGCCCTCCATCAAGGGGCCAAATCCCAGTCCTACACCTTGGGGGAAACTGAGGCACAAAACAGTACAAGAATTTGTCCTAACTGTTCAGACGAGTTAGAACTGGGGCCTGAGCCCCCAAGGCTCAGATTTGTGTCACCTGGCTTTGAGTGCCTGAGGAACAGGGGCCAACCTGCCTCCGTGATCTTTGTGAGGCTAAAGGGGCACCAAGGCATGTGACAAACCCCAAGGTTTCCAGTTCCCCACCCCACATGTACAGTCCCCGCCTCCACACCAGGGCCACCAGACCACCTCCCACAAACATCGGGCCCATGCAGGGGACCCTTTCCACGGTGAAAAGACAGGTCCCAGCACTGTGGGGCAGCCTCGTCCCTTCAGCACCCTCCTTCCACTTCCAATGGCCCAGATGGCTGTCCTGCTCCCACCTCCATCCCCACCCAAATGCTTCTCGGGAGGCACAGGGAGGCAGTCTCTGCCGTCATCTTTTAATGGCCAGTGCGGTACAGTTAGAGGACACACAGGTGGACAGGACACAGCAGGGGACAGGACAGGGCAATTACAGCTGGGGCCAGGAATGTGGAAGGACTGGGGACCTCCCCTGGGAAAGCCATCCTTGGCAGGACATCCCCAAACCAGCCTGATGACTGAATGACCCCCCAGCCCTCCCTACTTGCCAGACTCCTGGGCTCCACTTGTCCCTCCTTGAGCCTCCCTAGGCCAAGAGGTGACTTCAGTCAAGAGGGCCTACTTTGTGACCCTCCTTCGTATCGTAGGTAGGCTGAGTGCAGCCCCTGGCCTGTGCACCAGGAGGGTTCAGAGGGAGACCTCAGTATGGGGGTGCTGCCCGGGCCAGCTGCGCGGTGCCCATGAAGAGGCCAGCGCAGACCAGAGGTACCATCCCCCCAGCAAACACACTGTTCGGGGGAACAGGGTGGACGACAGGCCCACGGTGAGAAGGCTGGGGACTGCTCCTCTCTTTTGAGGTCCTCTTATGTCCATCGGGAGGGGTCCCCCACCCCTAACTGGTGCCATGGACAGTGACGAGGACCATGGGGCCCCTGAAGTAGACCCTACGGTGGGGTCGCTGTGAAGGGGACACCAGGCGGCTGGCTGCCATCCTGGGTGGGGAAGGCTGGGTCTGACCCTGCAGAGTGCTGGCCTGGCTAGAGCTGGGGTCACGGGCTAGATGGAAGGGGAATGCAGGTGTGAGGCTGGACGAGGACACAGTGCTGGGCAGAGCCCTGGGTCACTAACACGTTCCAGGCTGGTGTGGCCGCTGGACCCAGACAGATGGCGTTAGTGGTATAGGAGGAGGCTGGGGCCCCGCAGGCACTGCAGGCAGGGAGGGGGTGGGGGCCTCAGGGCCCCTCGTCAGCCTGAGCAGCCCTCCCTGGGCAGCAGGAGGGCCAGCAGCCTGCAGTGTCCTGACTCAGGGGCCGGCAGAGATGGAGCCGTTGGCGGTGCGGAGGCAGCTGCTGTGGGCATCGCGGGTGAGGCTGTAGGTGCAGTAGGCCACGGCGGAGCCCAGGGTCAGCCCAGACATGTAGGACACCGTCATCGTGTTCCCTGTGGACAAAACTGACCTGAGGGGGGCGGGGCAGCAGCCAGGCCCTAGGACCACACATGCTGGACAGACCTAGTGACCACTGCTCAGGTGTGATGTGTAGTGACAACGGCCAGCTCCCAGGGAGCCACCCTGCGTGAGCAAACCTCCCCAAGCACCTGCTGACCCCTCTGGGTCTTGCCATCCCTTAGCCAGCTGTTCCTTCTCCCATGAGGGGACCAGGCCTCACCTGCTTCTCTGTCCCCCACCCATTTTGGTGGGGAGGGTACTGGGTATCAAATTCAGGGGCACTCGACACATCCCCAGCCCTTTTTAAAATTTTATTTAGAGACAAGAGTCTCACTGAGGTAGTGCCTCCCAATTGCTGAGGCTGCCTTTGAACTCGCGATCCTCCTGCCTCAGCCTCCTGAGCCTCTGGGATTACAGTCCCGGCCCCCCACCCATTTTTGCCTCCAGCTTCTGACCTCCAACTGCCTCCTCGTCAGGGATCCTTTGGGATGTCTGTTGGGCACCTTGAAGGTACCATGGCCCAAATCTGACTCCAACACCCCGACCCGTGGGCCTCCTGTATCTCAATCCATGGCAATACCAAACTTCCTGTCCTGAGCGGTGGCCCCGAACCTTGGGAGCCCCATGACTTTCTCACACTCCCTCTCCCAATCTGTCAGTCCCACAAGCATGGAAACGTTGTGTCCCTGATGCCTAGGCACTGCCACAGAGGAGGGCCACCAAGTAGTTGTGGAAGAAGGAATGATCGGCAAATGTCCCACACCTACCACCTCCCGGGCGTTGTCTAGTCCCCTAAAACCCAAGTGCATGCTCTTGCTGTCTGGCTGTGGCTCCCGAAGGCCTCGGTGTCCTCACTAATGGGGGGCTGGGCTGCTGGGAGGGAGCCCCACATGTCCCTCTGGTAGGCAGTTCTTACCTGCCAGCTCGCGCTGTTTGGGGCTCACTTTGCCCGCCGCCAGGATCATGGGCACACTGCCAAAGTAGCCGTTGCTGATGCCCATGAGCAGCGAGAAGATGCAGGGCCAGGCCGGGTGGCGGAGGGCCGGCGTGCCACTGGGGTAGACGCACAGGATGAACAGGGGAATGAAGACGACGCGCAGGCAGGAGCAGGCCAGCAGGTGGGTGCCCCGCCAGTCCACGGGCAGGGCCGCCAGGATCTGCAGGGAGCCAGGTGTTGGGACCCCGCTGGCCCCTGCCCTCCTCAGCCTACCTCCTCTCCTGTCCATCTCCACTATAGACTCTGGCCACCCTCTTGTCCCTAGACACTCTGGGTCTGTCCAGAGCGGCATGGTCCCCAGCCCTCAAAGATGCACCAAAGCCCAACCATCACAGCAACAGATGGTCCTTGTCGTGAGCCTGACCCCAATCTAAACGCAATACCCTCAGGATGGGACCTTGACCCTATTAGAGAAACGAGGGTCAAGCCACCCGTGTCACACACAGGACAGTAGCGGGCCAAGGGTCTGGACCCGCTCTCTTGGCCCCGCTCCCTGGGAAGCACAAACTCATTCCTCAGCCCTCTCAGCAGTGTGACCCCAAGAGAGTGGCTTCCCCATCCATAAGACAAGGCCCGTCCCCAACCTGCGCGAAGCATCAGAAACCACAGCGTGGACCCCACCCACTGCAGGTGAGGCAGATGGTGTGCTGCGCAGGTCATTCTGGTCCCTTTGGGTGGCTTCTGGGTGCTTCTGCCCTCTCCGTGTACCTCGAGGGCCTGTGTCTGTGCTCATCCTGGGAGGACCACCCCAGAGACCCACTGACTAGTGACCACGGAGCAGGAAGACTGGGCAGAGGGACCGCGGAGACGCAGCAGGCACTCGGAACCACCTTGCGGGACCAGGCAGGGGCCGCCCTGGGGGGGTGCTGGGGGGACCTTGACGTTGCATGGCTGCCACACTCCTGCCTGGGACCCGTATGCATCCTCGGCCAGGGGATCTTCCTGGGTGGGCCCGGGCCACCAAGGGCAGGGCAGGCAGGAAGCCCACCTTGCCCACGAAGTCCGAGAGGTTGAACACGGCCATGACCAGGATGGGCAGCCACTCGCCCAGCACGCAGTGGCGGATCTCGGATTCCAGGCCGGGGAACAGGCACAGCGTGATGAAGTAGGTCACCGCAATGGAGAGCATGTCGGCCCAGATGACCCGTGCCACCACGTAGCGGTGCAGCAGCAGGGCTGTTGGGGGGGTGGGCAGGGTCAGAGGGCAGCACCCCCAGGGGCCCTGCCCGCTTCCCACCGGGGCACCACCCATCAAGCAGCCAGGACAGTGGGGTCCATGGGGCCGTGGGGGCGGGTGGGCTCGCTCACCTCTGAAGGTGGGCCAGCTCCGCTTGACTCGGGGCCGAGGCACGTCGAAGCGCATGTAGGCCCCCCCGCCGCCGGCCACCTCATGGGCCGGGCTGTCCAGGGAGTCGCTGTGGGCCACCGCAGGGGCCTGGTGCTCCTGGAGGGAGGATGGAGCGGGATGGTGTTTGGAGGACGGGACAGAGCGAGGCACTGACCAGGCATCGGAGCCCAGTGAAGGAGAGCCACATTCAGGCTAATCTTCAGTTAGGCCTACTGTGTACCGACGCCCTCCTTCCTGTTCACCAAGAGCCCTCTGACTTCAGAGAGGGCGAATTCCTTCTCAAGACCCTCTCCCCACTTCTGACGGAGCACGGCACCCCACCCACATCTTGCCCAGAGGCCCCTCAAGGCCTCCCACCACCTCTTGCTTCCTGTTGTCCCAGAAACACCCCCAGCGGCTCCCCGCCTGAGTCTCTGCCCAGGCTCCCCCGCCAGCCCCTCCTGGTGGCTTTGCTACTCCACTTCGGGGGAGTCACTCTCAGCCCGGAAGTCCCTCCTCGAGCCTCTCTGATGGAGGGGGTCCCCCAGATGGCTCCCCATGGGCTCCGACAGTCCACTGCTGTGTCCCCAGCCAAGGATCCAGGTGATTCCCTACACCCACATCTGCAGGACCATCCTGGTGAGGACCCTTGGTGGCTCCCCTTGCCCTGCCTCCCCCGGTGTCCAGCACTCCTGGCCTGCAGTGTCCTCAGGCCAGATATCTGCCAGCTGCAGGCCAGGGTCGCTATGCAGCATGTGGCCACCAGAGGGCACCCCAGCTTTCCAGAAGGTCCTCTGCCCCGTCCAGCCGTGATATCACCCAGAGAGTGATACCGAGGCCACTAGCTGGCCTGAGTCCTTGTGCTGGGGACCCTGCAGGGGAGGTGCCTCTGCTGGAGTTATGAGGCCAGCAGTTGGCCCCTGTTGGGCCCTGACCTCAGCAAAGCCAACAGCCACAGACCTGAACCCCCATTTTTGGCTCCTGCCTGGGGCCTATGATTCCCTGGCTGCCTCTGGTGTTCTCCTCTGTGGGGATTCTTGGGGTTTGTCCCACCTCCTGGGTCCTTTCCCTGACCCTGGACAGGAACCCAGGGCAGAGGTGAGCCTTGTTGCCTTCCTGGGAGTCTGTCCCAACCGGATGGGAACTTCCATCTACAGTATGTGGAGTGTCACAAAGAAAGGGACCGTGTGCACCCCACTTTGCAGGATACAACAGCTGAGGGAGCCCCAAGCCCCACAGAATGGAGATGGGTGCAGCCTGAGACCCTGGGGCCAAGGAGGGGGTCCAGAGAAGGAACTCGGCCAGGATGTGGGCTGGAGGCACATGCCCAGGGCTGGCGGCGGGGATGGACACCGACCAATCCGCACCTGGAGTGCGCACTTACAAAGTGGATGTCCCCTGCGGCGACGTCGTGGTGTACGCGGTAGCCCGCCCGGCAGCCTCGGCTGTCCCGCGGCCGCGTGGTGTAGTAGAGCACAAAGCGGCTGCGCCGCACCAGCAGATGCAGCAAGAAGCAGAGCAGCTCCAGGCCCACGGAGACCAGGAAGAAGATGAGCGTGCTGGCGCGCTCGTCCGGCAGCAGCAGCTTGGTGAGGATGCGGCTCAGGGAGATCATCACCCCCGCGGTGCCTGGGGCAGGGACCAGGGGCTCGGGCCTGACCCCGCCCCCAGCCCAGCCCCATTCCACCGAGCCCCTCCCAGCTCTAGCCCGTCCATTAGTCCCCCACCCAACCCCCCGAGGAGCCCACCGCAGAGGGACAGTGCAGGCTCACTGCCTCCTCCAGCACTGTCGCCTGAGCTCGGGCCCTCCACGTGTGTCCGTCTCTCAGCATTTCCTGAGGGCCCAGCATGTCCAGCCCTGAGGACCTAGCGGCAACACACAGGGCCCTGCCTTCTCGGGGCTTGTGGAGACATGTTCAAACAAGTCCCAGAAGCACAGGTCGCAGATTGGGGTCAGGGAACTGTATCAAGTTTCCCACTGAGCACAGATGTGGGCAGGGGGTGTCAGAGAGCTCCTGTCTCAGGAGGGGACTGAAGTCTGCAGGACAAGGGAGTCGGGCATGGACTGGAGGATCAGTGTCCCTGGCAGGGGGCTGGTAGGGACCATGTGCTCCTGTGTTAGAACAGAAGGAAGCCTGGCCCCGTGGCACACCCCTGTAATCCCAGCAATTTGGGAGGCTGAGGCAGAAGGATGGAAAGGTCAAGGTCAGCCTCAGCAATCTAGCAAGACTCTTAGTAACTTAGTGAGAGAGACCCAGTCTCAAAATTAAAAAATAAAAGGGGCTGGGTTGTGGCTCAGTGGTTGAGCATCCCTGGGTTCAATCCCCGGTGCTACAAAATCAAACCAAACCAAACCAAACCAGGAGGCCGGAGGACACATGGAGAAGGGGCCTCAAAGCACCGGCTCCAGTGCATGGCAGGCCAAGAAGCAGGTGGCAGGACAGCCACTGAGACCACGCACTGGTGCCCAGAAGGCCAGCCCACAGGCTCTGGAGCACTGGCTGCTGGGTAAAGGACAGGCTTGAGGGCGGGGTCTTGGTAACTGGGCAGCTAGCAGGAGGTGGTTGTGTGGCTCCGAAGCTCTGAGAACAGCTTGGTGCTGAAGGGTGATACCCAACGTCACAGGAGTGGAGGGACTGAGTCCCCGACACACATACACACACACACACACTTGGGCACACTTGACATTCCACATGCAGCCTCGTGGGCACTGCCACACTCCAGCCACCACACCCCAGAAACGGGGTGCACACACGTATGCACGCACATCCACCCTCCGGTGGGGAGTGTGTCCCACTCCACCCCTCCCCAGCCAGGTGAGGAGATAAATCCCTAGCCCAGCATTCTCAGGGCGCATGTTTGGGGGTCCCAGGAAGAAGCTTCCAGAGCCCAAGGCAGCTCAGTGCCCCCCCGGGGGTCTGCGATACTCACTCTCCCCGGTCATCACCCCCTGCGTGTACCTCTTGGGCAGCATCCCCGTGTACCCATAGAAGCTGGATTGCTGCACTTAAGAGAGAGAGGGGGAGACCGTGAGACACCAGCTGTCACCTACATCGCGCGGCGACCCGAGCCCCCTGGGGTGGGAGAGGGTGTGTGCAGAGAATTCAGCTCCACCGCTGGCTGAGAGGGTCGCCTTGTAGCTGCCTTAGGAACAGGGATGTCCCCTGTAGTGCCCATAATGCTGTCCACATCCCTGCCCGTGGGGCTGGTCAGAGGCATTGAGGAGCCCTGGCCAAGAAACAGGAGCAGAGAGGACATTGCCACTTGAGGACGAGGCAGTGCAAGCTCCCTTGGCTTTTCTGTCTTCCTCCAATAGTGACCCAGGAGGCCACCTGGGGGAGGCTGTCAGACTGAGAACCCCAGTCCCCACGAGACTGTATGGGACACAGCTGTGCCCAAGAGCAGGACGTGCAGCAACAGCAAGCAATGGTTTCATTACGCAGCCAGGGGTTTCGGGGGCCCCTTCGTTAGTACAGCATAGCTGCTCTCATCCCACCCAGCACCGAACTCCAGCAGCATCCAGGGAAGATGTGTTGACTTGGACCCCCACACCCACCGAGTCCCAGAGAGCCCACTGGCTCTGTGCCAATCCCTGCCCCCCATAGTACTGAGGATTTGACCCGGTTGTGCTGTGCCACTGAACTACATCCCCAGTCCTTTTTATTTTTCATTTTGAGACACGGTCTCCCTAAGTTGCTGAGGCTAGCCTCAAACTTGAAATCCTCCTAGGGCCTAAGCCTCCCTAGTAGCTGGAATCATAGGCATGCACCACCACGCCCAGCTCAGCATTTGCTTTTTGACAAAACAGACCAGACCTGGGCACACTGCCTGCATGGAGACCATGATTTCATGACAACATACACATATGTGCGTGCGTTTATGGGGTCATCTTGTCAAGTGCGTTCCTTCCTGGAAGTCACAGTAAAATAGGCTGCGGCTGGGGCTCAGAGGCAGGGCATTTGCCTAGCATGTGTGGACACCCTGGGCTGCATCCCTGGTGTTCACTGCCCCCCTCCCCCAAGCAAAAAGTTTGAAAGCCTGCAAAACGATCATCGTGGACCCTCACAATGTCACTGCCGTGAATGACAGAGACATGCCGAGGAATCACCCCGGATTAAAGGAGATGAAGAGATGGGCCTGTACACGCAGCGTGTGACACTGGAGTGAATCCAGGTCAGGAAAAAAGTGATACCAAGGGGCTGGGGTTGGGCTCAGCTGCAGAGCACTAGCCTAGCAGGCAGGCTTGAGGCCCTGGGTCCCACCCCCAGCACCAAAAAACAAAACAAAACAAAGGACTGTCATTGGGGAGTCACTGAGAGTTAAGTCTAGATTGTGGCTTCCATAATAGTACCCTTATGTGTGAAATTTCCAGATTGTGGCAATTGTAATGTGGTTAAATAGAAGAAATATCTAAATTGGCCCCAGTGACACACACCTGTAATCCCAGGCTCAGGAGGCAGAGGCAGGAGGATACCAAGTTCAGGGTCGGTCTCAGCAACTTAGCCAGACCCAGTCTCAAAATCAAAAGGGCTGCGACTGTAGCTCAGGGGTAGAGCACCCTTAAATTATTAATTACCGAGTACCAAAAAAACAAACAAAAATATATATATATATAAAATACACCCTGAAGTCTTAGCGTTCAGGCAGCAAAGGTGACTACGGTGTGCGGGGAAATGAATTATTTTATATTTATTTATATTTAGGGGAAACTGACGTACAGGCGGGGTAGGGCAGGCGCATAGGGCAGCTCCTCATCTTATCTTGCAGGCTTTTTGTTGGTTTGCAATTTTTTAAAATAAAAGACTTTAGAAAAATTTGAGAGCCTAGCCCAAGAGGAACAGTGACACAGACAACAGGAGGGTCCTTGCATGCCGGGTCACATCTGCGGAAGCCAGGGAGCTGTCCGGGCTCTGGGGCCGCGTGGGGGGGCTCTGCACACAGGCGGGTGGCTGTTTGGCCTGGACGCTCAGCCCTAGGCGCCCCCAGCGCGGCCGGCCCTGCCCGCCCCAGCCCCCTCCCTACCTGTGCAGCCGAAGGCCACGGTACCCACCGCGGCCAGGTTGATGGCATAAGCCTGGTCGTGTGCGAAGAGCTGCAGCCACACGTCACAGACACTGATGAAGAGCAGGGGGCCCAGGGCTAGGAGGTAGCCTGTGGGGAGAGGCTGGTGAGGGACCCACGGCGGGCTAGGCGGCCCCCTCCACCGCCCCTCCCCTGGGGTCAGGTCGGAGGCCCCCTCCCCCTCCCCCTGAAGCTGGACACGGCCTTGGAAGGGGAAGGAAGAGCAAGGTTGAGTCAGGAGAAGAGCAAGTGCTGAGGCCTGGGAGACAATGTGGGGGCCACAGAGCCTCTGGGGGTGCAGGGTATCCCATGGGTTCCCAGAGGCCCCACTAGGACCTGACTCTGTTTCCCCCCCATAGAAGCCCATGGCATCCTTAGGAAATGTGCCCACTTCACAGACAAGTAGCATGAGGCTCAGGGAAAACAGGGGTTGGGGGACGGGGTGGGGGGTCGCGGAGGGACTGGGGGGGGGGGGTGAGCACTGCGCAGGCGCGTGCGCTGGGAGCCGGCGGGCGCACCCGTGGTGATCCTGGTGTGCAGGTTCAGCCTCTCCACCAGGACGTTGTTCAGGAGCACAGCGGCCAGGGCCACCAGGATGTAGGTGAGGCTCATGTCGAACACAATGGAGGTCCCTGGAGGGCCAGCGACAGCAGGTACTCAGAGAGGGCCACCCTCTGCCCATCCTCGCTCACTGCCCAGAGGCCACTCAGCAATTCACAGTGGAGCCAAGATCTGAATGAAGAGGGTCGCCAACAGGGTCCTGGCCCAGGGGGTTTCTGGAAAGCCTCAGTCACTGAGCACACCCTGAGGGCTGGGTGGGCTGGGGAGCACCCACCTGGGTACTTGTGGTGCAGGTAGTCAACGTCGGTGATGAAGCTGTTGTAGGGCAGCAGGAAGCCCACGCCGGCCAGCAGCATTGCGAAGTAGATGGCATGGTAGCGGTCATCGGGCACTGGCTCCTCCTCTGCCAAATCCCAAGACCTCAGGTGAGGCGTGGGTGAGCCCACTCTTGCCAGGCCACAGCACCAAGGCCGCTGTCCACCACCAGAGCCAGTGTGCATCCCTAGGGCCACAGCTGCTCAGGTGCCTCTCATCACGGCCCAATGCCACCCTGCGAGTCTGATCTCCTAGTCACTTGGCCCAACTCCTCAAGTTAGGGAAACTGAGGATCAGAATCGGAGGGCCCTTACCCAAGGTCACACGGCTGGGCTGAAAGCCAGCTCTTTGAACCTCACATCCAATCTTCCAGGCTCCTTTGCAGTTAGGCATGGCTTGATTTGCCCAATGAATGAGACCAATGTCACTTCAATATAAAAGCCTCATGGGTCAGTGCATGATTCACATGTGCCCAGTGAGCATGTAGGACCAGGGGAAGATAGAACCTCCTCAGCTCTGACCTTGGCTCTGACCTGTGGGTGCAGAAGGCTCTTCTGCATGGGACCCCAAGGCACAGGGCAGAGGCTGAGTCAGGGTGCAGGGCTACCACATCCCAATGGGGCCTCCCCTCAATGAGGACCCCAGTGTCCTCTGCCCTGGGCTGACCAGAGGTCGTGAGGCCAATTCCCGTCTGGGACTCACCAGAGTCCATGGACGTCAGGATGCCCCTGGCCCTAAGGCCCTGCTCCCGAGCTGCCTCCGCCGCTGCGGCCCTGGCCTCCAGCTGGAGGCCTTCGAAGCCGAAGCTGGTCACCACAGTCCTGTCAGGAGTGCCCGCTACACTGGACTCCTTGAGGCGCTGGCTTCCGACGGAGCCCATGGTGGCCTGTGCTGTGGAGGAAGGAGATGAGCAGGGGAGGGGACAGGATGGGAGGACACTCCTGACCCCAAGTCCCCAAGCAGTACCCCAGGGGACCATCCCTTCCATTCATTCCTCCTTCTTGATATTTCATCACGAAGGACATGGACTTAGCAGTGAGGTGATGTCACCTTGTGTGTCCCAGGAAGCTCACTCATGTTGCCATGGAGACGGGGTGGGAAGGGTAAAGACACAGCCCAGGAGATCAGCTCAAAGGCTGAGCAACCGCGGTGGTCTCTGGGCGTGGGAAGAGATGGAGAGCAGGACTGTTTTGGAGGTGGAACACCAGCACGTGGTGAGCAATCAAACAGTAGGGGACACCATGGAGCACTTTGTGCCAGCACCAAGCTAGAATGCCTCTCCCGGTGTCCCTTGTCCCCGGGAGGGAGGTGCTGAAATTCATTCATTATTCAGCCAGCAAAAGGGAGAGTTACGGGGTGAATAACTCCTGCTCTGGCCTCTAAGGCAGAAAGTGGTAGAGTCTGGACCCAACATCAGTCTGTAGGTCACTTAGAGCCCCCATGCCCCTCGGGATTCTGAGGCCAACCACCTTCAGTGGCAGGCAGTTCTTTCGATGTTCTTGCCTCAGTGTTTCTTGCTTCACTTTGGATCTGCTAGCCCTTGCCTTTGGGGGAGAAGGAAGGAGTTCAGTGTTCCATGATAGTGAGAAATGGGACACCACAGCACAGGCTCCTAAGAGTGGTACCTCAGCATCCCTGGCCCCACAGACATGCGGGATTTATTGCGGACGAATCGGGGAGAAGCCAGCCCCAAGGGATCTGCGTGCCACAGTTATTCCCATTATCCCTGGGGCTGACCTGTGGCAGGCCTCTCGCTCTTGCCTGCCCCTTCCCATCTCTGGGGCCCCATCGCTCCAGCTCCCCTGCCTCAGTTTACCCCATTCCCAGCCACCAGGTGGCCTGTGCAGACTTGTCACCAAGCTCTCCTCCTGGCCCCTGTTCCCCTTCCCTAGGTCTCTAGCAAGTTTTATTGGAGCCAGTGATGAGGATGGGGGCCTTTCTGGGGCCAACCCAGGTGATTGGTAGCCATGGCCAGTGGAGACGAGGTCAGGGTCTTCTCCTTCTGGGGACTGGGAAGCCGGGCTTTCCTCCCCTCCTGGCTCGAGCCTCTCCTGACAGCCCCCTCATCAGTCTTGCTCCTCCGGCCACATCTGGCACTGGGGGAACTCAGCAGCGTCTAGAACAGAGATGGCCTAAGCTCGAATGTTGGTGGTCCTGGGCACACCCTTGTCCTTGCCTATCAACTGGACACACCAGCCTGACCTCAAGAGTGGTGGCTTGGAGACCCTTGCTCAGGCCCTTCTTGGGTCCTGGCCCACCCATCCTCCTCCCTTAGACATGAAGAGCCAAGGGAAGGGGACCAAGGGAGAATGACAGTCCACAACAATCACAGTCCACTCCTGCCACCAGCCCCCTTAGGATGGAAGTGCAGCCCGATGGGCATCCAAGTCCTAAGAGGAAGGGCTTCTGAAATGCAGCACCGGATCCCACAGTGTCCTGGATGTGCCCGATCAGCATGTGAGGCTTCCGCCTCACTGAGGCCACCCCACCAGGGAAAGCTGACGTGCTCAGCGTCAGGCCGGGCGGGGGGGAGGCCCCTCTGCTTCCTCGGGCTCATCAGTGTGGCGGGCAGCTGCCACCTACACTGCCCGCCTCAGCCACCATCCCATGGCCTTTAACTCTCTCCTCCCCCGACACTCTCACTCACACCAGCTGCCCAGGGCTTCAGATTGTTCCTCCTCTTATGTCCCCTTTACTTAAGACTTAAGGACATAAATATAATACAAACTCGGTGTTTATAAGACTCTTCTCTGCTCCTTCACCCTGAGCTACTAGGATTCCTCTGTCCCAGCCCCACAGAGCCGCTCAAATGACACAGGTCATTTCTTTGGCCTTAGACCACCCCTTGGGCCTCAGTGTCCCCACCTCCTTATTGTGAGGACACAATAGAGAAAGAACAAGGGGAGAGACTATTTCATAAATGGAGAGGGCTGGGTGGTTAGTAGAGAAGGTGTGGCTGCACACAGTAGGTGTTCAATAGTGGCATAAACAGCCACCTAAAGAGCACCATGTGGGCCAGAGCTCTCCTGATCCTCACAGTTCGGCAAAGGATGGCTCATGCCCCCATTCTGCAGAAAGGGTGACTAAGGTGCCCAGAGGTCAAGTCCAGGGTCAGGCAGCTCAAACTGGAGCTGTGCCTGACAGACCACCTTTGGCCCCACCACAGCAGCAGGGACTGCATGTGCCTCGGGGCAGTGTGGAGGTGCTGAGTGTCAGTGCCAGGCTGACCTGGTTCTGAGGCTGCTGAGCTCCACTTCTAGCCAGCAGAGGGACAAGGGAAACTGAATTTCACTTGGAAAGCCAGTCTGCTCACCCTCCTAGGCCTTGAACTTCTGGCTCCGCCACAAGTCCTGCTTAGCTGGATGCCCTTGGATGCCCTGTCCCCTGTGGCTGTTCATCCCACAGCCCAGCTTCTGGGCTGCCCAACTCACAGCGGCAGGGTTGTGGGTTTCAAGACCCTCAGGCCACCCCCTTTCTGTAGCACCCAAAGGACAAATGAATGCAGGGGCCACAAGCTGGGCAGGGCCTGGGATGGAGAGGCTCCAGGCTGCCCAGGCCCACCGCCCTCCCGTACCTGGGTGTGAGCACGTTCCCAGATGCTCAGCAGCCCCAGAGGCTCCTTCTGCCTCCCAGGCCCCAGCAGCAGCAAAGTTGGATCCCAGGCCCGGGTCCCCAAGCAAAGGGGAGACCCCTTGGGCAACACGAGGTGACCCCTGGGCCCAGGCCCCACCTCTTTCGGCAGCTTTCCCAAGAATTAGGAGGCGGCTATCTGGGAAAAGGAGTGAGATGGGCGAGGGAGGCTTAGGAGGAACTTGGGGTGTGCCCGAGGTCGGAGGGAGCGCCAAGACCCAGCTTGGCCTGGGCTCCGGGCGCTTGTCACCTTCCTGGGTCCGGGTCCCGCGCTCGCAACTGGGATGCTGGCCCGCTCCAATGCTGGACGGGGCGGGGGAAGACCCCGCTTTCCGCGACAGGGGTGCGATGGGAGGGAGACTCGGGGTGCGGTGGGAGACTCGGCGTCCGGGCCGGCGGAAAGGAGGGGACGCGAGTGGGGCCGCGCGCCGCAGACAAAGGCTCCGACAGGTCCCCGCCGGCGTCTCCCCGCGCCGCAGCTCGTCCCCGCCCCGCCCGCCACCCTGGCCGCCAAGCTTACCTCGGCCGGGCCCGGGGCTGGGGTCTTCGGCGCCCCGCCGGTGCCCCGCTCGGGCCGGGCGCGGCTGGCGTCCTCCGAGGGTGCCAGGTCCGCCCCGGCCCCGGGTCCGCGAGCGCGTCCGGGGGGCGCAGCGGCGGCGGCGGCGAGCACAGCCGGGCCCGCGCTCCGCCCGCCGCCCCGCCCTCGCCGGGCCCGCCTAGGCCCGCCCCCGGCCCGCCCCCGGCCCGCCTTCTCTCCCTCTGGCCACGCCCCTTCCCTGCCTCCCTCCCCGCTGCTCCATCTCCGCTCCGGACCCGCCCCTCCTCCCCATCCTCCCGGACCCGCCCCTCCTCTTATCCCTCTTTCCCCCTCCGCCCGGCCCAATTCCTGCCCCGGGTCCCGTCTTCTCCCTCCCCTCCGCTTGGCCACGCCCCGTACCATTCTGCCCTCCCCCTCCACCCGGGTCTACCGCCGGCCCCGCCCCCTCAACTAGGCCACGCCCCAAAGCCCTCCCCCTCCTCCATCCCGTCGCACTCGTAGGGGTGGGTGTAGGACCCAGACCGAGGTCGGGATCCCCAGATCCCTGACCCTTGAGGCAGAGCTTGGTGGCTTTGGCGACCTCAGGGTGGCTTGCGGCTGACCTAGCCCACCTAAGAATCAATCGCAGCCAACCCCCTTCACCTTGGTGCCAAGCCTCCTCTCCTCCTCTCCCCGGCAGGATGACCAGACTAAAATTTTCCAGGTTGAGTGAGGAGTTGAGAGAGAAAGTGTCCAGCGCGATTCCAGACCGGCCAGGGAGCTTGGGTCGCTCCTCCACCCCCGCTCCCGTGCGGCGCTCGCTGGACCCCCACTTCTTCCCAGCCTTGGATCCCACCTGACTAGGTCGCTTCCCATCTCCGAGCCTTGTTTTTCTCCCAGGTCAATGGAATTCCATCCCTTCCTAAGCCATGTGGCCCAAGCGCTCGTGCCTTGCTTGAGCGTCAGTTTACTGTCTGGGACATGTCCCTGAGAGAGGCCAATGAAGCTCAGGAGACAGTGTGGGTTGCTGAAGAAGACTCCACACTGGTCCTATCATTAGAAATGAGCCCACCATTGGGGCAGGTAGAAGGGCGGTGCCAGAGGTGAGGTGAGGAACCAGGTGGGAAGCAGAAAGTGCCCTGGGTCTCTCCAGTGTAGGGCTGTACTGGAGGATCAGGGAGGCCTCCCAAGACCAAGGCACCAGCTGGGATTGGCAGAGGTGCCAGCCAGGGAACCTGCCAGGCCCCACCTGGATGCCCTTCCCCCCGCTTTCCAGGAGACTAGGCTTCTGCCTGGAGCCCCACCTTGACATCTGCCCCTCCAGGGAGCCTTAGGGTTGCTGTTGCCCATAGTTGGGATTTTCCCAGGGCCTCACCCATGAGAGGTGAGGTCTCTGAGAGTAGGGACTGCTTTAGGGTCTCAGGGTTCTCATGCTCCGTGGTATACACTCTCCGGGGTGAGTTCATCCCCCTGGCCTTTCTCTGCCGTGGTTTGGGCCAGGGGCTGTTCCTAAGAATCAATCACAGCTAGAGCCTAAACAGGTGTTCTTGGCCAGCACAGGAAGACAGACCTTGATGCCCAGGGTGTGAGAGGCTTCCAAATCAAACAAGTCCGAGAGCGTGAGACGGTTCTCAAAGCAGGGGACACACAAGGTTTCCTGACCTGATGGGCTTCCATCTGATGGAGGACACTGGCAACAAATAGCATGATTCCTAGAGCATCAAGTGCTTGAA